AAAGCTGGTGATATTAAAAATATGATTTTGCATTTCCCTGAATTGTTCGGTGATGTTCCTAAACGTTGTACTCTGGGTGTACATGACGTCGATGTACAGGGAGCATCACCCATTAAGCAATCACCATATAGGATGAGTCCAACAAAGCATAAAGCATTGAGAGAAGAGGTTGATTTTCTGTTATCTCACGGACTTATTGAACGCAGCAAACGTCCATGGGCATCTCCCTGTATTTTAGTGCCTAAACCTGACGGTAGTTTCAGGATGTGCACTGATTACAGGAAAGTGAACTCTGTCACCTTGCCTGATGGTTATCCTCTACCTCGCATTGACGACCTTGTTGATCGTGTGTCAGGAGCCCAGTTTGTCAGCCGTTTAGATCTCTTACGAGGCTATTATCAAGTCCCGCTTACTGAACGTGCTCAAGAAATATCTGCTTTTACTGTTCAAGATGGATTGTTTAACTACCTCGTCACCCCCTTCGGCCTATGTAATGCGGCTTCTTCATTCCAACGTATAATGAACGAGTTGACCCACAACTTAGAAGGAGTAGAAGCCTACCTTGACGACTTAGTGGTGTACAGTGACAAGTGGGAACAGCACTTGATGCATCTCAGAGCATTGTTCGAGAGACTGGCGCACTACAACTTCACTGTTAACTTAGCTAAATGTAGTTTTGGTCAAGCCAAGATTATCTAGGCTTTTGTATCAGCCAAGGTGAGGTTGCTCCTATTGAGGCTAAGGTTCGTGCAATTTCTGAATTTCCAGTGCCACAGGATAGGAAGGGTATGGCAGGATATTATCGCAGGTTCTGTCCAAACTTTTCTCAGATTGCAGCTCCTCTTACTGAGCTTACTAATAGTAAAGTTCAGTTCACCTGGACTAGAGATTGTTCAGACTCGTTCAAAAGGTTGAAGCGCTTGCTATCCTCTGCTCCTGTGTTGAAAAGTCCTAATTTCAATCTTCCCTTCTTTTTACATATAGATGCGAGTGGCTATGCAGTGGGTGCTGTGCTGCTCCAACAGTCAACATCCACTGATATTCTCCATCCTATATGTTACTATTCATCTAAACTTAAACGACACCAGAAAAATTATGCCACTATTGAGAAAGAGGCTCTAGCTCTTGTGGTGTCTTTGGAACATTTTGATGTGTATTTGGGCACTTCCCCATTTAAAATTAACATTTTTTCAGACCACAATCCACTCACCTACATAAACACTATGAAAAGTAAAAATGCTAGGATCATGAGGTGGGCCCTCAGAATCCAACCTTATTCTATTAGTATAAAACACATAAGTGGTCATTGTAATGTAATTGCTGACGCTCTGTCACATCCTTAATAATTATCAGTTACTTTAAATTAACGTAATTTTATGCCCAAATTCCTTTTGTTACTTGCTATGTCAAATTCAGTAAAGTAACGTAATCCCTCCAGCCCATATTAACTATGTATACTCATGTCATGTCTAATTATTATATTTATATATTCACAGTATTGTTGTGTGTGAGGAGGAAACATAAGCTGAGTGATGAGTGGGTAGTGTGGTGTGGGTGATGTACTGCGTGACGCAACACTGTCCTGCCGCAGACCCCCCCCCTCACTACACACCTTAAGCTGTTTAATACTCAGATGCCCATACTGCCTCGCATTCCACAACCACTACTTAAGAGTGGAATGCTGTCTCCTGTTTATAGCAAAAGGCTATTATGCTGTCTACACTACTATGATCGAGCCTCAACGTGCCCTCCTTGTCTGCGCTATCCTGTCTCTACACTGATGTACATAACCACGAGTATGCAGAGATACGATACTGTGTACTGCCCTAGTACTAGGGGCATATCCTAGTGACAGACGCTGTGAAATTGTAGAAGTGCTTGGCACAAGAGTGACTCTGATTAAATTTATATATTATATTGTTAGTAATGTAACCTGAGTAATCAGTAATGTGAAAGACATTAATGCAACTCCTAGTGCGACCGTCTGTCGTGTTGGGGGAGTGTTGCAACCCCTGAATGGGTTTCAATGATTATTATGTATATATATAATTATTACTTTTTCATTTAATTTTATATTGCTTATATTTGCGATAATAGCTAAATCGTAAATGTATTGCTTTATATTGTTATTTGACTTGTTAGGTAGGATGTAACATATTATGTGCTCAATTCAAGTCTTGATTGTCTAACTACTGTAATTATCGCTGTTTGCTCGTTATATTGCCGGCTTCTTGCCGGGCGACTGCTGTCCACGGAGCTATCACGTGATCGAGGGGGGGGTGTCCTCACCTCGCCTTGAGTATTCAGTCTGCTCTAGACTCGCTTGGTGGTCAGACAGATTGTCTGTCTCATCATTCTTGTTAGTTCTGTAGAACTCTGTTCACAGAACATTGTATAGACTTAGTGATTTTCGACATTGTACTGAGGTTGTGTGTCTCATAGACACTCTGAGTAACTCAAGTCCTGAACTATAGCTTATGACCTAATTTGTACTGGTTTTTGTGTATTATCATAGTCGGAGATTTTCTTATGCTGAACTTAGATTCAGTAGTATTTTGTAACTTTTGTGGAGGATCTGCTGATGGTCCCTACTTAGTGTCGTTATATTATCTCCTTGTTCCTGATTCTGTGTCGCAGTTGCTTGTTGTATTGCTATTGGGCTTAGCATTCTTTTTGTTGTTCAAGCAGACTGTTCTGGTTGCCAGTCGGTCAAGAAGTTAGTTTATTAGAGGACTTTGTCAGTCACTTGTTTAAGTCTAGTCGAGTCGTGAGACATAGTGAACTACTTAGAGCACTTACACGCATACACAAACTTGTACATATTTGTAATATCTTATTAAATGTTAATGTACCAGACGGTACTTAAGAATTATAAATGTGATATGTGCTTTCAGCACAATAATATTGAACTCGAGAGAATTAATATTATGTTGATTACTGTGATTAATTTAATTTAATTTAATTTGATAATATACCTCTAGACTTAATAAATTTATTAAATTTTAATTTCTCTAATTAGTAGCCTACCAATTGTAATCCTGAAGCACTATTGAATCATACTGAATTCTAATGGATAATTGGACAAGGATACTGACTACTTGTTACGAAAACCCAGTAACAGGCTGGATGCTAGAAGGGCAGTCCTTTCTAGTATTCACTGGAGATCTCTAAGCTTTTAGAATCGCGTTTTTTGTAACAGGGTGTGTAGAAGAGAGGGAGATTACTTCCCAGTAAAAGTAGGTTTTAGACAGGGATGTGTAATGTCACCATGGGAGACGGCCGACTTGTTGGAAAAAAAAAAAAAAAAAAAAGATGGGGTTGTAAAAGAAGTAAATGCTAGGGTGTTCGGGAGAGAGGTGGGATTAAATTATGGGGAATCAAATACAAAATGGCAGTTGACACAGTTACTTTTTGCTGATGATACTGTGTTTATGGGAGATTTTAACCCTTAAACTGTCCAAACAAATTTACGGTCACATGCATAATGCTCTAAAAGTAGATCAAAGTTTTTTACACGTTTTCAAATATAAAAAAAAGAAAAGATCTACTTTTTTTACATACTTTCAAATGTTGAAAAAACATAGATCTATGTTTGGACAGTTTAAGGGTTAAAGAAAACTTGCAATGGTTAGTGGACGAGTTTGGGAGGGTGTGAAAAGGTAGGAAGTTGACAGTGAACATAGATAAGAGTAAGGTGATGAGGGTATCAAATGAAAAAGTATAATTGGATATCACATTGGAGAGAGGAAGTATGGGAGAAGTGAATGTTTTTAGATATTTGGGAGTTGAGGAGTCAGCGGATGAGTTTATGAAGGATGAGGTTAACCATAGAATTGATGAAGGAAAAAAGGTGAGTAGAGCTTTGAGGTATCTGTGGAGACAAAAAACGTTATCTATGGAGGCAAAGAAGGGAATATATGAAAGACTAGTGGTACCAACACTCTTATATGGGTGTGAAGCTTGGGTTGTAAATGCTGCAGCGAGGAGGTGGTTGGAGGCAGTGGAGATGTCCTGTCTAAGAGCAATGTGTGATGTAAATATTATGCTTAAAATTCGGAGTGTGGAAATTAGGAGAAGGTGTGGAGTTACTAAAAGTATTAGTCAGAGGGCTGAAGAGGGGTTGTTGAGGTGGTTTGGTCATTTAGAGAGAATGGTTCGAAGTAGAATGACATGGAGAGCATATAAATCTTTAGGGAAAGGAAGGAGGGGTAGGGGGTCATCCTCGATAAGATTGGAGGGAGAGGGTAAAGGAGGTTTTGTGGGTGAGGGGCTTGGACTTCCAGCAAGCATGCATGAGCGTGTTAGATAGGAGTGAATGGAGACAAATGGTTTTTGGGACCTGACTAGCTGTTGGAGTGTGAGCAGGGTAATATTTTGTGAAGGGATTCAGGGAAACTGGTTATTTTTATACAGCCGGACTTGAGTACTGGAAATGGGAAGTACAATGCCTGCACTTTAAAAGAGGGGTTTGGGATATTGGCAGTTTGGAGGGATATGTTATATATCTTTATAGTATATGCTTCTAAACTGTTGTATCTGGGTGCCTCTGCAAAAACAGTGATTATGTATGAGTGAGGTGAAAGTGTTGAATGATGATGAAAGTGTTTTCTGTTTGGGGATTTTCTTTCTTTTTGGGTCACCCTGCCTCGGTGGGAGATGGCCGACTTGTTAAAAAAAAAAAATTCTTCTCATGAATATCATTAAGAGAGAGATTTTGACTAACACTGATATCATTATTAGTTAAATTTTGGCTCATATTTATATTCTTATAAATATAAACATTACCCAGATAAGCATGATATTTAAAGAGATGTGGCCACTGAAACACAAAAATGAACCTAAATATGAAAAGAAAATTTTTATACTGACAGAATTTGGTGATACCATATTCACAAATTATGTAAGTTAAAGGACCTCAAGGCAGTAATACTTTACCTGTGAATTTAGGAGTATGACTGCATTAGCACTCCATACAGGAAAATGGAAAATATTAAACTTACTATTAGATGGTTTTGTTACTAAGTATGCTTCCCCTGCCTCAGGGTTCTTGATTGGGAGCTGAGTTTTCTGACTTCTATCCAAATGCTCTGAAATAAAGACAAAACTCTAATAAAGCACTACAGTACTGCATTTTATTTGTCAATTCCAGTACTGTACTATGCAACAATACGAAGTCCACAGTAAATAATCTAACTGATTTACATAAAAACCACTATACTGTACAACATCTCAGTTACTGAACAAGATACTGTTCTCCACATAAAACATATCACAATATTTAAAACTTGCATTTTGTTGCTAACATGTGAATTATCCCAAAAATTTCTGCTCACATTTAGATGCCTTTCCAGTCATCAGCTTTGAAAATTCCTAAAAGTCATTTTTGCAACATCATGTAATTTGGACCTCTGATGGGTCAAACAACGAGTTATACATACCTCTTCTTCCTATAACAATTGGTTGTCCCTAGTAATGTGATGAAGATTTGGGTAAGCACTGCATGTGAAATGTCACATAACAACAGGTCACAGCAGAGAGGAAACACTGCAGCAGCTCTACTGGCCAAAGCTAGGCAAGTCCTTCTTGAATCCAACCTCTTTCAAGCCATATAATTATCTACCCTGTTACCCAAGAAGCTTCAACATGTCTCACCTGACTCTTCACATCACTACATTCCCTATACATATGCACCTCGTCTCTCCCCAAGTAGATCTGTTTGTTACTTGATAAAGCCCACTGTGTAGACAAAATATTGTCAAAAAATTATTGCATTATACTGCATCTGTGTCTCTATCCAATGTTTGAGTATTTTATACCATTTCTTTCCAAAAATTTTTTTATCCTAAGGTTAGTTTAATATTATAGGCCTACTACATCTACAATACTTATTTTTTAAGTGTGTGTCAGCTTCTCTAAGCACTTTCAATAATTCCTCTGTGTTAATTTAATTAACCCTTAACCCTCTAACTGTCCAAACGTAGATCTACGTTTGTGCGCGTAGCGCTCCGCCCTTGATTTTTCTCCATAAGAACGTAAAAAAAGTAGATCTATGTTCGGAGCGCTACGCGAGCAAACGTAGATCTACGTTTGGACAGTTTAAGGGTTAAACTGTCCAAACGTAGATCTACATTTGCTTGTGAAGCACTCCGAACGTAGATCTACATTTTTTACACGTTTTCTCATGGAGAAAATCAAGGTTGGAGTGCTATGAACATAAACGTAGGTCTATGTTTGGACAGTTTAAGGCTTAATATACATAGCACTCAAATATAGCTTGATTTCATTTTAAGTTGACCCCTGACTTTGTCAAAAAAAAGTTTTTACTTTTTTATATACTGTACTTCACAGCTAAGTCTACCCTAGTTTATAAGGGACAGCAGAATAACACTGAGAATTAGTGTGCACTGGGTACAAGTACTAAGTACATCAATACTGACAGACTATGTGGTAAAGACACTTGTGCAACACTTAGGACATGTGTTAACCATTTCAGGGCCCAAGGCCAAAATCTGAAGTGGTGCTCCAGTGTCCAAGGAATTTTGAAAAAAAAAAAAAAAAAAAATTTTCTTACAGAATTAAAGAGCATATTTTTGTGAAGGTAATAAGACAAAATAAAAAAAAATTCTGATCAGTACTTACCGAGATACAGTGCCAAGAAGTTTGTGAAAAATGATGTAGTGCAAATGCGTCCTTTTAAAGTGACAGGCATTGTACTACCCATTTCCAGGACTCAAAGTCAGGCTAAACCGGTTCCATAAATCCTTCATTAAATATTACCTTACTCACAACTCCAACAGCTCGTCAGGTCCCAAAAAACTATTACATCTCCATCACTCCTATCTAACATCTCACACAGTGCTTGCTGGAAGTCCCAAGCCCCCCTTTAGCAAAAGATTTTTTGAACTAATTTTAAAAAAATAAAATAATAGTTTTATTTAAAAAAAAAGAGCCATCACAGAAGGAGCCTTTTCAAATTTTGGAAGAATGTCAACAGTGGAGAGAGGATAAAAAGAAGAATCCCAAGTTAATACTATAATTGTCTAATATTACCAATTACGACTAACCCCTTGACGGTCACAACCCCAAATCCCTGAGGTTGTCTCCTGGTGTCGCAAACGTTCCCAGCCCAATTATTTTTCATATCGAAAAGAATAAGAGAATCTTTTCCCCCGATTGTAATGACACCAAAAAAACGAAATTTGAATGGAAAACTGACGAAATTTACGCCTCCTCGCTAAGTTAGCGACCTAGCAATACATGTATATATGAATCGGCGATTTTGCCCACTTTGAGCCATATTTTTGGCTAACTTTTACATTGGTCCAGTCAACCCAACTCATAGCCTAGTTTCTTTAGAACTCCATTTTTCCCCTAACGATGAGCACAAGAAACTGCCGCCATCTAAACCAATTTTGCAACTACCCAATAACGAGGTAAGAAATTTGCAATTTTGGCCAATTTCACGAAAATTAAAAAATATGACAATTTTCAAAATATAGGGTCTAGAATGAACAATGCAAACATTCCCTTGCTCTAAAATAACATTTTTTCTTTGATCATCAGTCATGTCACCAGAGCCTCCTCTGTTTCTAATTTGTTGAATTTTTAATTCAAACAACAAATAGAAGATTACTGGATCAGACTACTACAATATTGTAATAATTGTAAATAAAAATTGTCAGCCCAATCATGACCTGAATATTAGAATGGCAACTTGGACATTTAATGGAAAATGATATCATTTGTTTACTTTTGAAACACGTGGCAAAAATCAAACATTTCCCCTACTTTGAGCTCCCAATATACAAGGGTTCTTTTCATAGAAAAAACCCAATCAAAATCACCTCTATAACTATGAATATGTTTCCATACTATCAATGAGAACCAAGAAAACAAAAAATAACAAACATAATACTAATACGAAAATAGACCACAAAGTCGGCATTTAATTAAAAAAAACAGTTTTGGAAGTTTTTTTTTTCTCCTCATTAAGCCAACTGTGTGCTGCAGGAAATTTTTTTTTATATGGAGCAACACTGACCACCGACCCATTCTCTCAGCATGTGGGCCAAGCCAGAATTTCCTTGTTTGATTTTGAAGCCTGCCTAGCATTTTTTAGTATACTATATACGTCAAACACAGGTCTCGTAAGACGTATATATACGACCGAAACCAGTTCCAAAAGGGTTAAAAAGCAAATTAACCAATAAAAATGTCATTAATAAAACATTCACATAATTTTTCCTCAACAGCTGTCTCCTTACCAAGGCAGGGTGATGCAAAGAAAAACACATTCACCCATATAATTCAATATATTGTTATGCCAGAAGAGTGCCGACATCACAATTCCAGATTTACCCTCCAACAGCAACTTCCCTACCCCTCCTTCAGAGTACAGCACTGCCCTTACCCACTTCCCAGAACTAAAGTCTGGCTAACCAGTTTTTCTCCCTTCCCTTCCCCAAATACCTTCATGAAGGTTTACCTTGCTTAACTCGACATCTATGTCCATTAAAAATTCCCTCGTCAACATCAAATTTAACTAAAAAGTAATACTTTACATTTTTAATATATGTATATTATGTTTCTAAAGCTTTTAAATATAAATATTTTATAGCAAATAAAAATAAACAGTAATCTCATACAAATGTAATAAAAACTCATATACACTGCTAGTGCTAGCTTTAAAAAAATTTTATTATTTTTAATTAGTTATTTATTTGTAGGGTAGAAGGTAGGTTAGACAGGCAACCACCCAGGGAAGTACTTAACCGTCCTGCCCATATTGACTGTGAAACAAAAAACCTTTAACTGTTTTTGCATGATTGTAGATTGCCTGTTTCTTTTTTTGTGTCTCTAAACGACGCTAGATAACAGGGATATCTTGCTACTTACCTACTTACACTTTGGTCATACTTTCACCGACACGCACATGCATAATATATAAACATACATCTAGGTTTTATCTCTTCCCCTCCTTTTTCCTAAATAGCCTCTTTGTTCCTTCTTTATTGTCTTCTATTGTCCTTGGAAGTGGAAAAGAATCTTTCTCCGGAAAGCCATGCGTGACGTTAAATGAGTCGACTAAAATGTAGCCGGGAGCAATGGGCTAGTAACCCCATCTCCTGTAAGACATTTATACTAAAAAAGAGAAGAAGAAAAACTTTATAAGAAAAACAGGATGCCTAAAATTTGCGTTGATGAAGTGGGCGATGACAATAACCAATGATTGCCTGATGTTTTTATGAATGAAAAGAAGTTGTGATTCCTGGCCCAAAGCGAAAACAAAGCCTAAGGGGGTAGGAGAGTTTCAAGTGGGGGGAAAGAAAATGGGATTAAATCTTGAGTAATCAGAGAGAGTTAGAGCAAAGGAAGCGGTAGCAGTAAAGTTCAATGTTCAGTTTAAGGAAGTAGAAAAGAATAATAATAAAGTGTAAAATGCAAGAAATTAAAGTTGTTAAAGTAATGGTTGTGATTCGAAGAATTGGGTTCATAATAAGCGTGTATGCACCTGGAGAAAAGAGGAATGCAGAGGATAAGAGAGAGAAATGTTTGGGAGATGTTAAGTGAATGTATATGGAGCCTTTGAACCAATTGAGAGAGTAAATGGTGGTAGGGGAACCTGAATGCTAAAGTAGGAGAAACTATTTAGAGAGGTGACGGTAGGTAAAGTTTGGGGTGCCAGGTGTAAAAATTAATAGAAGGGACCCTTTGATTGAACCTTGTGGTAAGAAAAGGGGAATAGTTTATAGGTAATACATCTTTTATAAGAAAAAGAGGATAATTAAGTATAACAAGATAAGATGTTAGGGCGAAATGACATTAGTTTTGGTTTGGAATTAGTAATGTGTAGATAAATAGACTGTGATAACTTCAGGTTTTCCAAGTTTTATAGAGTGGCCAACAGATATAACTGATCACTTAGCTAGTTATTGTAGCTACACAGAGAGTAAAAAGGTAGATGGGATACAAGGAGGAATAGAAGCATCAGGGAAAGAAGAGAGGGTGAAGGTTTTAATAAACAAAAAGATGATGAGTTAGGGAAAGAAATAAACAGCAATTTGGAGTAAAGATGGGCAAATGAGAGCATAGGCATGGGGGTCGAAAGTAAGGGGATAGGTTTAAAAATGTAGTGGTTAGAGTGTTTCAGCAGAAAAGAATTGTGGTTCCAGGAAAGTGGGTGCAGGAGGGAAGAGACGACTGGTGGAATAGAAGATGTAAAGAAGTAGTAAAGGGAGAAAAATGATTATCATATGAAGAAGTTTTTGCAAATAGTGTGATGCCAAGGAGGGAAGAGTATAATGGAGAAAAAGAGAGAGTTTAAGAAGTGTGGTGAAGCAATGTAAAATGAGAGCAAATGAGAGAGTGGGTGAGTTAATCAACAAATTTGATGAAAATAAGAAAAAGTTTGGAGTGATTATTAACAAGTTAAGAAAGCCTAGAACAAATGGATTTGTCAGTTAAAAATAGGAGAGGATGAGTTATTACAATGGAAGTTAGAGGTATTGGGACGATGGAGGGAATAATTTGATGAATTGTTTAAAGTTGATGAAAAATAGGGAAGCGTGTGATATCGTGTATCAGGGCAAGGATGAATAACATCTTTTGTAGATGAGGAAGAAGCCCAGTTGGTGAGTGTGGGGGAAGTTCCCTGATGCAGTAGGTAAAATGAAAGGGGGTTAAGCAGCTGGGATTGATGGGATAAATGATAGAAATGTTAAAAGCGTGTGGTGATA